CTTTCTTTCTTTCTTTCTTTCTTTCTTTCTTTCTTTCTTTCTTTCTTCTTTCCTTCCTTCCTTCCTTTTTCTTTCTTTCTTGTTTTGGTTTTGTTTTTTTGTTTGTTTGTTTTGTTTGTTTTGATTTTTTACTCTGTTAGGGAGCCACTAGATGGTGCAATGGATAGAGCAGGCTCTATCTGAGCTCAAATCCTAACTCAGAAACTTGCTGGCTATGTCTTCCTCACTATAAAATGGGGAATAATAATCTCACCTACCTACCAGAGTTGTTGTGAGGATTAAATGAGATAACATTTTAAAGTACTATGTAAAGGTTTAAGCATTATATTAATTTAGCTATTATTATTGTTATTATTATTAATTATCATTATATTAGACTCTGGAGTTGACAGTGATGAGAACAACTAAAGCTGATGATAGTATTCTCTTCTAATTCCACTGGAAGGGGCAGAATGGTTTTTCCTGAATTATGCCTTCTCTTAGTGTGATGTAATGAAAAGAGCACTGGATTTGAAAGTCAGGATGATTGGATTTGAATCTTGGCTCTGCCAGGCACTTAACCTTTTCAGCTTCATTTTCCTTATCTGTAAAATGGGCATGATAACAATTGCACTACTTACCCCCAGATGTTTTTTGGGAGCTTTAGAACTGAAAAGGACCTTAGAGATCAGTGTCTAGTTCGTTTTGCAAATGAGGAAACCGAGGCCCAGAGAGATAAAGTGATTCACCCAGAGTCAGACACGTGGTAAGTGGCAGAGCCAGGATTCAAACTCAGGTTCTTTGAGTCAAGATCCAGCACTCTTTCCACCACACTATCCCGGTACTAAAAAAAAAAAAAATGCTGTGTAAACTTTGAAAGCACTCTATTTGAAATATGAACTAGGAACAAAACCTCTAGTGTGTCTAGATATTTTCACTAATAGAACATTCATTTGAGCATGTAAGTCCAGCTTTCATTTTAAACCAAATGAGCTGAATCAGGAAGACTGTAGCAGTGGGAAAGAAATTACAGAGAGAGTGATTCATGGCACAGCCAATCCAAGAACCATGCTTTCCTATCTATCCGGGTAGACACCAGGCAGTCTGAGGCAAAGCGTAAGGAGATTGTATAAATGCCAGGGAGAACAGTGGCCCGTTTACGAAGAATCCTGCCTCTCTCTTTCAGGCTATCCCACTTGTAAGGAAAAAATTAAGAGGAGACCAGGTGGCCGGTCAGAAGTCATCTACAACTATGTGCAACGTCCATTTATCCAGATGTCTTGGGAAAAGGAGGAGGGAAAGAGCCGCCATGTTGATTTTCAATGTGTCCGAAGCAAATCCCTCACCAACCTAGTGGCAGCTGAGGAAGATGTCTCTGAAGACCAGGAGAACCTGATGCACCACCCTCCACAAGTGGATGAACTTGATCGACTAAATGCTCCACTCTCCCAGATGGCCCCTAATGACTTCCCAGATTAGGGCCAGCCATTCATCCAAGCACATTCTAAGGTCCTTTTCTTCCTGGGATGCACTCAAAGTTCGTCCCACCCTGAACACGAGACATACACTCTCCCTAACCCTTCCCCCTGTCACCAATAATATTAAGGTGTATTCTTTGAAGCAAGCTGATGCCCCTAAGAGGAAATGAATAATGAGTACTGGCCACTGAATCACCAGACATTCTTTACTGACCCTGGGCACATGGGAAGCTCCTCAGGATTGGTGCTGTCCTGGAATAACTTGAGAAAGCTGAAAAGGAAGTAAAAAAAAAATCCCATTTCCTCACATAGCAAAATACTTCCTGTCCTTCTTCCCATTCTTTTTACCCCCTTTTCCTTGCCAGGTACACACCCCACTGATTTTTGGCAGCTTCCTCAGTTGCAAGGGGGCCAGACTGCCATTCCATTCTGCTGCATAGGTATCTGTGGAAGACTGTTAGAAGACTTCTAAAGAATGTACCCAGAATTCAGCTCATCTAGGTGGAAGGAGGCCTTGTTTACAAAACAGTCGAGTTTGTCAGAAGAGAATCCTTCAAGAGCTTAAATTAAATTGTCTTTTAAAAAAAAATTAAGCAAACAAAACATAGCACTAGTTTATCTTTTGGTAGGGAGGGTAAATGGCATGACAATAGGATTTATGCTCTTTTAACTTCTAAATATGGGGGCCTGATTTGATTGAACGTTGTGAAATAATGAAAATCAAGGGAATGAAACCATCCTGACAGTTCACTCATTCCCCAGCCAGGCTAGAAATTCAGGAATCCCTAGTAAAGCCATTGTCTTGGCCCCCAGTTCAGGGCTATGCTGGGGATGTGACTGGAATGAATAGGGCCGTGGCTAGAGGCTCTCCGAACATGATCAGGAATTTCTTCTGAGGCCTCAATCATTCAAATGAAAGAATTTTAAGATGCCTTTGAAGTTTAGTACAAAGGATGGAGAAGGTCAGGATCTCAGGAATCAATAGCTATAGCCCTGTCCTGGTGCTCGGTAAGGGAAAACAATCAGGGACTTGGACTCTGGCTTGAATTCTGCAACCCCATTCGTGACTCCCATACCATCTAAAGGTCTATTCCAGCCCTCCTTCCTTAAAGATGTGACTGAAATGGTCTTATTATCCAGATTCTATCCCATGGAATTGGGTGTGGGTGGGGGAGTAATAGCAAATTCAACCTTGGAAGTTGCTTTTCACCTGTTCGCTCAGGGTAATAGAAGATCCCAGGTGAGAAGAAAGTATTAATGTTTGTTGTGGGGTTTTTTTTCCATACAAGGGTCACCTTCAGTGACTCAGGATGGAGAAAATTAGGTTGATTTTTTTTTTATGTCAACTATATTAACCTCGTGCTAACCCAGAGCCTACACTGTTCCCCTAACGGCCATGCTTCTAGATCAAATTGCTCTGATGTGCAACTTGGACAACTGGTCTTGGACTATGGTTGTGATCCAGGAGATAGTCAAGAGTAGGACGCAATGCTCTGAGTACAGGTAGGTCCCAGATTCGTGTAAATAATGAATCTCCTGAAGTGAACACAACATTCAAATTCACACTGTGTTATTTCCATTGGGCTGGAACCAATGACCCCATTTTACCTAATTATAACTTCTAGTAGTGTGAATTTGAATAGATGTGGCCATTCCAGGGGATTCTTTACTCACATTAATTGGGACCTGGCTGTTTATGACTCTTTGAATGATTTTGTAACTGGGAACCAAATGGATTCCAGAGCCAAATACAGATGGTTAGGAGTTATCTTCTATTGTGTGTTATCTGTCCTACACTTCTGGTGTTTATTGCCTCAATTCCATTGGTGTGAAATAGTCATCAATTGACTATAGTTTTAGCCCTCCAGAGGCTCTTTTTAAACTGCACGTTTGACATTTTCACACCCTTCAAACTCCTTTAAGACACTACAGGACAAGGTACTCTCCACTAATTTGCGGTGGTGACTCAATTACTTTGTAATCCAAGCCAAGAAAATAGTAGAAGACACATTTTGTAGCAATTGTTGTCTCAGAGAAAAAGAATAACTCGTTGACCCAGTGAGTTCTTGAGTTAGAAGTATGCTTACTACTTTTTGTGACACATTGTTGGTGGTTTCAAAATTCAAAATGCATATAATATAATGTCTTCTCAGGAGTTAAAGTGATACTATTGGCCCACCATTGGAAGGATAGACACTGAATTGCTTTTCCAGTGGGGATGATTGATTCTGAGCCATCCACGCTTCCTTCTCCATCTCTTTTTTTTTTTTTAAACTGGTGACATACAATATTTGTGAGTCAGGTGGCCATTGTTAGGGGTACAGACTGTGTGAGGAACCATGTTTCCTCTGTATGGAGCTAATTGGCATATCCTCAAATTAAATATACAACCTTGACCTCATTAGCACTAAATTCACGGCAAGACATCCTCTAAAATGGTGCTTCCTTTGTGTTTCTGAATGGACAAACCCATCATTGCAAACACCATTCAGATTCTATAACCTTTATTTGTATATTTTAAGAAATTAATGAAGATTTGTTTTCTTGTTGAAGTCCATGTTTATTCCCTCCCCCTCCTCAGTATTTAGCTTCTGTGTTACTAATATTAAATGTAAACACTCCAAAAAGGAACTGCTACTTTTGTGTTTAAAAAAAGAAAAGGTACACAACTGTATTGCATCTGTTGGAAGACATCAGTACTATTTGAAGGATAGCTTTCTTGGGCCATGTTCATCGTTTTCACAACTGGTATTAGTGTGCCTGGCTATCTAGCCCATGGAGCAACCCTTGAGCTAAAACAAGGTAGCAGAAACCGATGAGGGAAAAACTGGTATAGCAATGGAGTTTCTTCCCAGAGCTAGTAGTTTCTTGTTATTGTTTGTTATTTATTCAATGTCACTCACCCCTGTGGGGGAGGGCACAGTGGGGTTCACAGTTGTGAAACTCTGGGAGTTCATTTGGGTGAGGGAGTTGGTATTCTTTTGCCACTAGATTGAATGCTAGTGGCTGTCTGTATGATGACTCCACACCCATCAATCCCTGACTCACGAAGTTGATTGCAATGTCTCCTGAGGGTCAGAGTAACGATCCCTGGGTGGAAAGTCATATCCCTTTAAACCTTTCCAAGCCATATAAAGACATGTCAGAGATAGCAGATGGATAGGTACTGGTTCCAGGGCATCTTTTTAAGCCCCAGTATTGGCAGAACTCTGGAACTGGAATAGACATGTTTTGTTCCCTAATATAAATGGGGAGAATCTGATTCAATTTCTTTTCCAAGTGCCTAAATAAGTTAGTCAGGTTCTATTATACCTGAAGACAGATTGTTTCCAAAGAAGATATTTTATTTGCACTCAGACTATCTTTCTTCCTTGGTGGCCAAGGTGAGAATTTTTAAGAAAAAATGATAGTTCTCTTCTGTTTGTTACTGCATTATCTCAAGCTTGATCATATTTCTAGTATAGGGATGGAGCAAGAATAAGGAAGAGAGAATAGGGTAGAAATTTTGTAATGTTAGCAAATGCTTCCATTCGCAGTTCATCATGGGATCACAGATGTAAGGCTGGAAAGAATCTTAGAGGCTATCTATACAGGCTCATGCTGGTGCCCTCGAATGTTTGAAAAGTACTCATCCTAGGGCAGCTAGGTGGTGCAGCGGATAGAGCACCAGCCCTGGAGTCAGGACCTGAGTTCAAATTCAGCCTCAGACACTAACTGTGTAACCCTGGGCAGGTCACTTAACCCCAATTGCCTCCAAAAAAAAAAAAAAAAGAAAGAAAGAAAGAAAGGATGAAAAGTACTCATCCTAGGGCAGCTAGGTGGTGCAGCGGGTAGAGCACCAGCCCTGGAGTCAGGACCTGCGTTCAAATTCAGCCTCAGACACTAACTGTGTAACCCTGGGCAAGTCACTTAACCCCAATTGCCTCCAAAAAAAAAAAAAAAGAAAGAAAGGATGAAAAGTACTCATCCTGCCAGGGTGTGTTTTGACAAGAAAAAGGGATGAGGGTAGTTTCCTTATGTATGATTGAATTTCTGGTTTTTGCAGAGGGAGGAAAGAGAGTTGGGGAGAAAGTGATATTTTTTTCTAAATAAAGGGAGAAATTAAAAAAAAAACCTACAGAATAGTTGTATGCAGCAGCAAGAATTACATTAAGCCTCACCTAAGAGAAAAATGTAGACTGATATAGATATCTACAAATCACAATGGAAAGAGACCTAAATGAATGGGCACAGTTTACAAATAGGGTTCCCAGAATATTGATCTAGGATCCTCCTTTAGGAATAAGCAAACAAATCTGAATCAAAGTATAGGCCTTAAATCAAACCATGTCTGAAAAGTGTGATGTGGAGCCCTTTATTTTTAAAAAATCATGTCACAGAAACTTAAGAATTGGGGGGGGGGGTGCGTCATTAGTGGCACATGCCTATAATTCCTGCTGCTGAGGGAAGCTGAGGCTGCTAGATCATTCGGGCTCAGGAGTTCTGAGCTGCAGTGGGCTCAGTCGTTCAGGTGTGCATGCTGTCAGGTGATAGCAGTGGGAGGGGGAATCAGGCTGCCTATGGAGAGAAAGATTGTCCCTGGTCAGAAATTAGAGAGGGCCAAAGCTCTGGGATGGTCAGAATAGGGACTGGCAGAATTATGGCAGACACCTCTCCCCCACCCTCTACCCCCTGTATCAAGGGCCAACCCCTTTTTCATGTATTAAAAAAAATAAAAATGATTTAACTTTGCTGATACAGATTCCTTGATTGAGATGGGCCCCAAGAAAGTGTTATCTTTAAATGCTACCTTCTATTTACAGGTGGGATGCTAGTTTGGTTTCCCCCATTTTATTTTGTATTTAGTTTTAATGTTGCACTTGTTCACCTCCTACAGTGTTTATGAGATCCTATAATCAGGATGCCTTTTTTCTATAATAAAGTTATTTCTGTGTGCCCAAGTGGTGATTTTTGTTTGTTTTTTTTAGGGAGAAAATGAAACTGAACACCTACTGGTCATTTATTTGGTCCATTTAAAATGTCTAACTACATACACATCAGAATCTCCTTTCCCAGTGAGATAAAATGAGATAATAATTGTAAGTCACTTTGTAAATGTTAGCTTATTATTCATCACTGTATACCTTGAACTTTGGTCTACTGTATCATAGCCAGTTTTCTTTTCAGACCTAGCAGGTACAGGGGCCCTCAGTGACCTCTGCTCTCCTATCCACCTTCATTCTCAAGACCCCCCAAATAACTAAGGCTGCCTATTCATTTCTTTGCTAGAGACAAGGGGATCTCAGATCCACGTGGAAGTTTAAAAGG